AGTGCATATATTTTTCTACTTGCTGATTTTTCAAAAGTTCGTTAAACTATCTTGACTTTTTTTATTCATTCATTCTTTCTTTCTAGATTAGATTATTTCCAATGACCTGTTTTCTAGTTCATAAATCATTTCTTCCACTTGATATAGAGAGTTACCAAACACTTCTATTGATTTTTTCAGTCTAGTTACTGTGTTCCTCAGCTCTATAATTTCTGTTTTATACCTTTAAGATACTTTATCTGTTAAAATTCTAAATTTGTTCATGCATTGTTGTCTTGACCTCAATGAGCATGTTTATGACTGTTTCATTGGTTCCCTGTCAGATAAATCACATATTTTCATTTCATTAGGGTCAGCTTCTGGGGATTTATACTGTTATTTTATTTGGAACAAATTTTCTTGTTTCTTCATTTTTTTTGATTCTCCATGTTGGTTTCTGTATATTAGATACAACTACCACCTCTCCCAGTCTTGTTATACTGGACTCATGCAGGAGATGGTCCTCAGCAATCAGCCCAGCCAGAGATTCTAAGTACCTCTCAACCCTTTGAGCGTATCCAACTCACTGATTTTGTTCTTAGTGGCTGCCAGAAAATCAGAGTGGTCCAAGTCATGCTAGTGCCCTGAGAAAGGTGAAATAGAAACCAGTTTCTCAAAATGCAGCTTGGATAACTGGGGTATCAGATATGTGTTACAGTTACTTCTTTCCTCAGGGAGAAACAGAGCCACAGTTTCTCTCTCACTCATTCTGATTTAAGCTAAAAGGTTCTGTTACAGATGCTTGCACTCGCATTAAGACTGCATTTGGGGCACTTGATGCATGCAGAAATTCCTTCTAGGGAGAGTCTTCAGACGTGGATTTTTTGCTGTAGCATGCCAGTAGAGACAATGTGGGGGATTATCCACTCTCTTGTTCAAGCTTGCAGAAGTCTCACAACCTCCTTTCAGGGAGAGCCTGCAGACCTGGATTTATTGCTGTTGTAAGCTGAGGTGGAAGGCACAGGAGTGCTGTCCTTCCCATTGAGGCTGAAGGAGGTTTATTCTTTATTTACCCCATCAGCTTCCATATGCAGGCTATTTAGAAACCAGACCTCAGGGTGGTGCTTGGCAAGTGTGCAAACTCCTTCCAGAAAGAAGCCAGAAGCTGGACTGTACCCATGAGCTATAGCTGCTGAGAGCGTTTGCATGATTCAGAACCACTCTGTGATCTTTGTCCTTCAAAGAAATTATGCAGTGCCAAATCCCTGCTGCTCTTTGTGCAAGGTAATTTAAGAGCCAAACCCACTGGCAGGGATCATAAAAGCTGGGGTACTATATGTGTGGTAAGAACCCTTCCTCAGGACAAACCTAGGAGATGGGAATCCTAAGGTGTTGTGCTCAGGGTAGAGTTTGTGCATGAGTTTTTCTCTGCTTTTTCTTTTCTTTCTTTTTTTTTTTTTACCCTCCCTCCCCACCCACTTCTCTGCTTTTTCTACTCACTTTGATATGGATATTTTCTTAATTGTTCAGTGTTCAGGGGTCTTTCAACTAGTTCTGGCTTTCTCTTGAAGGTAACTGATCCATGTGTAGGTGTCTATTTGGACATCTGGTGAGGAGGGACAGTCGGGAGTGTCCTATTCTGCCTTATTTTTTGATATCACTCCAGTTCTAGGCATTTCTTATAAAATCCTTTGGATTTCTACATGCAAATCATTCATATCATGCACATACATAGACACTTTTATTTCTTCCCCTTCTGAGCTGTATGCTTATACTTCTAATTTTGTTTTCTTGTGTTATTTTATTGGGTAGAATTTCCAGTACTATGTTGAATGTGTCATGAGAGTGAATACACTTGCCTTGTTCCTGATCTAAGGGGGAAAACATTAAGTCTGCTTATGCCTGATAATTCTTGATTTGATGCCAGACAGAGCAAATTTTATCTTGTTGAATGCTAGATAATTTTGTGTTCTAATACATATTTTTGAACCACTGTTCTGCAGTTTTGTTAGGTTACTTGGGAATGCTTTGATACCTTCAGATATGATTTATTAGGTGGCACCAGATCAAGATTTTAATCTAGAACTAATAACTCACCACTACTGAGACAACATCATTCTGCACAGTCTTCCCAATACCTCATGGATTGTAAAGTTTTCCACCCTGGCTGGCAGGAATGGGCATGAATCTTGGCTTTAAATATAAACTCCAATTGTTTCCTTTTATTCTTTCGCTATTTCCCAGGTTCTGGTAGTTTCTTTACATATATGCACTAACCAACACTCCACTGAATACTCTGCAAATATCTGGAGTTCTCCCACTGAGCAGCTTTCAACTTTGTGTCCTTTGCCCTGGTCTCCACAGACTCTTAGTTATTTTTGCTTAACTCTGGGAGTTTGCTGATCTCTGCCTGGGCTCCTCTTCCTGTGTTTGTCTTGGAAATTGTCTCAAGCAGGTAAACTGGGCAAAGGGGTCAATTCATTTGTTTCTCATCTCTCGAGGATTACTGTCTCCTTTACTGTGTGATGCCTAATGTCTTAAAACCATTGTTTCATATAGTTGACTGCTTTAAAAATCATTTCAGTTATAAGTGCTGATATGGCTTGGCTGTGTCTCCACCCAAATCTCATCTTGCATTGTAGCTCCCATAATTCCCATGTGTTGTGGTAAGGACCCACTGGGAGATAATTGAATCATGGGGGCAGTTTCCCCCATACTATTCTTGTGGTAGTGAATAAGTCTTATGAGATATGATGATTTTATAAGGGGAAATCCCTTTCACTTGGCTCTCACTTCTCTCTTGTCTGCCACCATGTCAGACATGCCTTTCACCTTCCACCATGATTGTGAGGCCTCCCCAGCCACATGGAACTGTGAGTCAGTTAAACCTTTTTTTTTTTTTTTTAAATAAATTACCAAGTCTTGGGTATGTCTTTGTCAGCAGTGTGAAAACGGACCAATACAAGTCTGCATTCATTCCCTGTTATTTCATCCTGGCCAAAAGCAGAAGTTTGGGATTATTTTCTAAAATTTAATTTTGTTTTACAATTATATAAATTTGTTGTGGTTCTAAAGTAAAATAAAGAGAATATATTACATTCAAAGGACAGTGGGTACTAAAATTTGTTTTACAATTATGTAATTTTTTGTGATTCTAAAGTAAAATAAACAGAACATGGTACATTCAAAGGACAGTGGGTACTGTTTCTGTCCCTTCTGTCTTATTTCCTTCTTCTGTGTATTAGGAAGTGTCTAAGATGACCGCCAATGATCCCAACCTCCTGATGTTTATGACCTTGTGTAATCACTTCCATATAAGTAATTAGTTTCTAACCAATAGAATATGGCAACATTGAGGGAATATCATTTTGTGATTAGATTATAAAAGACTGTGGCTACCATCTCCTTACAGACTCTTTCTCTTGCCTCCTTAAATCAGCAAATTTCCATGTTGGAGAATTCTGCATGGCAAGGTATTGTGAGTGTCTTCTTTCTGGCTGGCAGCTATCAAGGAAGTGAATAGTCTCAGTTCAATAATTCTGGAGGCACTGAATCCTGCCAAAAATCATGTGATTGGGCTTGGAAGTGGATCTTTCTCCAAAGGAGCCTTCAGACGAAACCCTATCCTTGGATGATAACTTGATTATAGATTTGTGAAAGACCTTAAAGCAGAAAACCTAAATAATCTGTCATATTCCTGACCCACAGAAACTGTGAATCAACAAATGTACATTTTTATGTCACTACATTTTTGGGTGATTTACTACATTTTAACAGGTAATAACACCCTTTATAGATAATGTTTTATTTGATGATTTATTTTTCCATTATTCATTAAAAATTTTTAAGGTTAGTATATATTTAGTCGATCATCATTATTTACAAATTCTGCATCTGCAAATTCAGACTACTTGCTAAAATCCATTTACAACCCCAAAATCAATACTCACAGCACTTTTGCAATTATTTGCAGGCACACACAGAGAAGCAAAAATGTGAGTCACCTGATGTGCACATTCCCAGTTGAGTTAGAACAAGGAAATACTCTGGCTTCTTGTTTCAGCTCTCATATAGAGAAGACCAGAGGATGGAGACAGAAGGGGCAGCACAGTAATGTGCAAGAAGCTACAGCTGTTAATAGAGTGACATTAGGCAAGTTAATTAACACTTCTAAACCTCATTTTCTCTTTTGTAAAATAAAATCTACCCAGGATAAATTGTTTTTAAGATTATTTTATATATATATATATATATATATATGCTTTATATACTTTATATATATCTAAATATATATATAATAGGTTATAAATAAATATATAGGTTATAAATATAATAAATATTATAAATGTAATAAATATAAATATATAATACATAAATGTTATATAATATATAAATATATTTATATATATTCTATATAAACATATAATATATATATTTATATATTATATCTATATAAATATATAATATATATTATATATTATATATTTATATA